TCCCCCGCCATCCTCCCTCCCTTCCCTTCTTCCCTTGCCTCCCCTCCCGCCCCGCACGCCAGCAGAGCCGCCTTCCCTCCGCCTCTCGGCTCAGCTGTGCGGGGCTGGATTTATCTGATGAGTCAAGGGCCTTCCTTCCCCGCCCGGTTCACATCCCCTGCCAGGTGCTGCCGCAGCTGCACATGCTCCGCACCGGGCACACGGGCCCTCCCGGGGACAAAGGCGATGCGCTCGGTTTGGCCCCTTCCCCCGCCAGTCGTGGCACCCCCGTTCTGTGTGTCCCCCCTCTCAACTCTTGTTTTCTCCCACCCCAGCCCTGTGAGCGCTTAGGAACGTTTATTCGCCACCCTGCGCTGTCGTGGGTTGGACTAGATGATCTTTCAAGGTCCCTTCCAGCCCCTAAGGTTCTGTGATGGACCCAAAACCAGGAATAAAAGCTACACTCGGGTCTTTGTCCGACGGGGCCTGTTGGGGAGGAGCCGTGAGGGCTCCACAGGCCAGGATTCCAAGTCAGGATGCTCTTGACCAAATGGAAAAGGGCTGGGGCAAGCGCAGGGTGTGGGCAAGTGCCAGGGGCTGTACTTGCCCAGCAGCAATCATCCCTGAGAAGGCAAGGTGGGGACCTGCTGGCTGGCCAGCCCTGCCACAGACCCCAGGGCAACGGATCAAAGAGTCCATGCCGTGCTGCTGGGAAGGAGGGGAACATCCCACTGGGACACATAGGCAGGATGCGGTAGGGAAGGTTCTGCTGGGCACCAGCACCACTGGGTGCAGCGTTTCCAGGAAGGTGAGACTGCAGTTGGGGGTCTTAGGGACAGCCTGGGGTCTGACTCTGCAGGAACCCTGCCTGCTGACCTCTGCAGGGACACATTATAACCCTTTCCAAATACATCAGAGGTCCCCCCAGGAAGGGAACACGTTCCTCTTACCCCTGAGGCTCAGAGCAAAATGTTGCCAGCTCGAATTGCAACAAGGGCCATTCAGCACAGGTATCTGCGGCCGTTTTCTAAGCGTGAGAATGGTTATGCCCTGAAATGGGCTGTTTGGGGACAGTAAGGACTCTTCACCGTCGAGGTTTTGAATTTAAAAAGTGCACTTAGCCAAGTTCCTGTATAGAAAGTTTAGTAGAGTGGATCCTGTGTTGGGGCAGGGGATGCCTGCCAGGTTCCTCCCAGCCCTGTTCATAGGACTGTACATTTCAGGGAGGTTTTTAACTTCCCACTCTCCAAGAGAGTGAAACAGGCGTGGAAATGTCTGCTAGGTGGGTCCTAGCATCCTGGCCCTCATCTACCCACCACTCTTAGCTCCCCTCCAACCATGCCCCTGTGGGCTGCAGCTGGTGCCACGGGAGCTCAGCACGGGGCACGGCCAGGGGAGGGAGGAAGCACTGTCTGAGTACCAGAACTTCCTGTGGGGAGGAATTCCAGCAGGTTCCCACGGCACCATGCCAGTTTCCGAGGGCTGACCGTGGGCACAGATCCTGTGCATGCTGCCAGGCCCCAGGAGCTACTCACAGCTCTTCTTCCTTAGCCACGCATCCAGATCTGAAATGCAAAACCCCCTTGTTGCCTCCGGGATGTTTGGTTCTCCGGGTGCCTACGCTGGGCGCTGCCTGCCCCTCTGCTGCCCTGCTTGGAGACAGATCAAAGCCTTGGCTGTGCTGAAGCTGTTTCAGACTGTGCTGCTGTCCATGGACCTTAGAGCTGAGTGTCTCTGCAGGTTGCCCATTGTGGCATTTCGACCTCCAGTTCCCCCTTTAAACCAGATGGCAAGGAGCAGACACAGCTGTAGTGGGAAGGATGAATAAATGCCTCCTGGTGGGCCCTCAAGGGGTACAAGCTGAGGATATTCAAGGCTTATTTATGCAGAACACAGGTTTAATGGCTCTTTCCAAACCAGTAAACTGGAAGTGAATCAAATGCAAGTCCCAGTTAGGTTTAGATGGCATCTTCCCTCAGAACTTCCCTGAGAATTCCACACACTCTTCTTCTGAGCCACTGGTCACTAACGTGCTGTGCAAGGCAACTTAATCTTTTGTTGGGTTTCAGTTTGGATACTTCAGGATATGAAATCTACTTGGACATGTTGCTCTCTAATTTGGAGGCTACCTCCATAAATATCACCTCTGCTGCATCTATAAAGTTTGTAGATTGCCCCAAACTCATGCGTCCAGAGGTACCTATTGTGCAAATGTTTCCCTTTTTCTCATATCCCAGGCTTGTTAGATTGAATAAAACTTCACCCAACTCTTCATCTGCCCTTTACACATTGATCAAAGCCCAGAATGCTGTTTTAAAAAGGAAATGCCATTGAGGGTAAGATGGCTTCAGTTGTTTGAAAAAATAAACCTGCTGATAAGGATCCCGGAGTGATTAAAAAAAATGACAGGATGGAATTATAAAGAGCCCATGTCACCTCTGCCTCCAGTTCAAAGCACAGACAATAGTGAGGAAAGAGGTTCATGGCACTGACTGTCTCCTGCTGCACAACTCTTCTGTGCAAGACCACGTTCAGCACTGGTAACTGACACCCTGTGGATCAGTTCCCACAGAGGTATGAGAGAAACTGTTTGCAAATCTTGCCTTGATTCATACTGATGCCTCTGACAGCCAAAGCCAGAGAGCTCTGAAGAGAGGGAGAGAGGGTGGCACACAGCAGAGCTGAGTTTGCTCACCATCTTTCTGAATGGAATGCTTAATTCAAGGGCCTTTATTTTTCACTCTGTCCCATGTCTGTGGTCCCACAGCTCCCCACTGATGGCAAACTCCTCGGTTACACAAGGACAGGCAGAAACCTGCCCTTCTCTGCCTGCCCTGTTTCCTTTTCTGTATTCCTGCTTTCTAGGTCTCCTTACCCCATTACAACTAGTGGATTTGGTCTAGTTCTGTTGCACCAGCTGTGGCTGCCAGAGCCTCAATCAAAGTCAGTCTCTCTGCTAAATCCTTGCCAACATTTCACTGTCCTCATTACTGTTCTTAGCCTCATCCCATCCACAAATATATCACACGTGCTCAAGGCCCAGGTGAGAGGGACTCAGAGGGTGCTAGTGCTAGGAAATAGCTTGGACATTTAAAATGTTGTCATTATTTTGTGTAAGATGTACTCTGTGTGTGTGTGTGTCTGTGTGTATGTATATATATGTATAAATACCAGTTAAAATTGCAGTCAGAGAGGCACACAATCAGCACCACAACCCAGCACTGAGCAAGGACATCCTGCAATAACCAGGCCTTGAAGAAAGCAATTAATCAAGAGGTTTAAAAGGGTGTCTCGTGTAAATCACCAACTTGGCTGAGGAGGCTCCAGGCCTACCTAAGGAACGCAGGAGGTGACGAAGAAGAACCAAAATCAAGGAGACCAGCAGCAAAAGCAGCCTTGGAGCTGTAGAACTTGAGATGGTTTTGCCCCTTAGGTGAGCTCAGCTCATTATAATGCCATTATAATACTGAAAACCAGGCCCCCAGCTCACAAAGGCCTTTCAGCTGCCCAGGTGCAGACCCTCCACCCAGGTGAAGAACTAGCGAGGTACCTCTGTGATCTGTCAATCACCGTGAGGAGGACGGAGCAGGAAATTCGCTCCTGTCACGGGTTTCTGTAACACACGCCACGAAAAACCCCGCCCGGCGCGCTCGCCTTGCGGGCAGGCGCCGCGTCCCCGGCTGTTGGACCTCAGCAACGTCTCCAAACCTCAGTCACAACGTCCCCTCCTCTCTGCCCGCGCTGTGAGGAGATATTTTAAAACGCCCCGGCTCCCCGCCCCGCCGCCATCACAGCCCGCACGGCGGCCCCAGCCGCCTCGCCCAATCACGGCCTGCTCCTGCCGGGACTGACAGCCGCTTCGTCCAATCACAGCTGCTCCTTCTCGCGCTTTCCCCGCCCCATCACTTTTCCCGCGCCGGCGTCTCCCGGATGCGCGGGTCTTCTCTTCCGGCCGTTGCTAAGCAACGCGCCCCCCCGGTAGCTTCCGGGTGGCGGGGCCTATTTCCGAGAGCGGTACCGGGCACGGTGGGGAGGTGGAGGGGGTGGTATCACCATGAGCACCATGTTCGCCGACCCCCTCCTCATCG